GATTAAAGCTATAATTTGAAATTCTAGTTTGAGTCCCCTCGAAATTCAAAATATTTTTGTATGGAATCTTAAAGCTCAATTTTTTATGTTATATTGTTAAATGAAAACTCTTCATAGAGTAACTATGAATTCCTAAGGGTCGTCTTCCAGTAAAGTGGACAGCTTACGAGGCGTTGTTGTATGGCACATATACCACCAAAAGTGATGTGTAAGTACAGGCGTTTATTATTTGTTATGATATATCGCTACGCATTCAATTTGAGTGTGAAAAGTAAATCCTGCCAACTAGTCTGCGCACAATACACATAGCATCAAGCTCAGTTCCAGGAGTCATTAGTCGACCTTCGAGCGTTTGTCACATTTCCTGTTTTTAAGAAGGCTCCTTATGTTTATGTCATATTTCTCCCATTATCTTCTAGATGGAGTTATGGAGTTCTCCTTTATGAGATTTTCACAATAGATAACGATTTATTCCACGCAAAATCTATAGTGAAAACCAAAGAAGGGTACTAAAGACTGGTTAGAGCGCCGGATTGTGTTGTGCGGGAGGTCGAGGGCTCGAGCCCCGGCCGGACCAACACTCGTGGTCTTAAAATAACTGAGGAGAATTTGCTACCTTTCTATAGCATCAAGAAATGGATAGATATTCTAGTCTTCTCGGATAAGGACGAATAAACCGTAGGCCCCGTCTCCTGCAGGGTTAGGGGTAGGAGATGTTAATTTACTGTGTGGGGGATGTCATCCCCAGGGGTGGGATGGGTGGGTTTACTGGGCCCGCAGTAATTGGTGCAAGCTGTCCCGGTGTCCCTGCCTGTCGGCGAAGCTAATAAACTAACCTTTTTTATCTTGAATACCAATGTAAAATGCCGAGACCAAAACTCTGCTGCTTAATGCGAAGTAATTATACGAAAGCGATGAAGTTGCATAAGCAGTGCGGCCGTAGTTGCATTAGCATACGGCCCTCTGCGAGCTTCTAAAAAAAAAAAATAAAAAAAAAATTTCTTTCTTTTTTAAACTTTGTTGCCATCAATTTTACGCATCTAAACAGGATTCATTTGTAATCTGTTATCTTTTACGCCAATAAGACACAAAAGAATATTTACATAATTTCCAGGTGGTTCCCCGTATCCACGGATGGATGGCAAGAAAATTGCGAAACTACTTCAGCAGGACTACAGAATGCCTAAACCACAACATGTGGATGATGAGTTGTAAGTATTCCATACTGTTCTTACCTTTTACTCTGGTTTATCATCAGTCCCACTCCACGAGTTATTTCGCTCGATGATTGTGAGTTAAAGCCACTTTTAACTGATATCCAAGTTAAATGATTCTTGAAAACAAGAATAAATTTTTCTTTGTTGGTTAAAAGTATTCGTCTTGCTAAACACCAGGTACCAGATCATGATGATATGCCGGCAAAATGACCCGGATGTTCGACCAGCATTCACTGAGTTAAGAAACCAGCTTAAGGACATGGAGGCGAAACACAAGGTGAGAATTATAATAATCGTCACACAATTTGACTTTCATTATGGCTGGAATAAATCTTAACTACCTATCCTTTCGTAAATCAGCAGATTGCATTCGGACCATTCACTTTATTCATGCCACAAGATAAATTCTATGTATTAAATGATTTGATCATTCAAATTGGCCAACGTAAACAGTTTCAAGAGCTGACGTTTCGAGCGATAGCTCAGGTAATACGTAAGGTTACACAGTCATTTTTGATCATCTCATGAATTTGTTTTTTTATTTCCACAGAGGCTGATTAACATGAAGATGTACGACAAGCAGTTGTACGCAAACGTTGAGGACTTAAACGTATAGTCATCAATCTCTCGTATACTGTCTCACGCGGTTTTTGCAATAAACCTGCAGTTTCTTACTCGTTATTGGACTGAAATTAAAAGTTGTTTGATTAAAAAAAAAAATTAGATTCAAGAGCCACAGCAATAGATCCATTACAGTAAATTACAGTGTATACAGTACCAGTCTAATCTAGTTCCTTTCAAATCCCTTTGATGATAAAGAAGCCTTTTTGTAACAGTTTTTAATTTCTTGTATACGTAATTTTTTGTATGTGTAATTTTTTTGAGGAGGGGGGGATAAATGTAAAAAGAAATCAGACATGATCATACACATCAGGAAACTCTAATGTCAGCATATCTAAATTAGAAATGATGATGGTCGTATCGTAAACACCATGTTATGGTCTAACTTCTAAAACGAGCTGCAAAAATTGTATTATGAGTTAGTCCTCTGGCTCTTTTAAAAGGTGCATTTGCCTGATTTACAAGGCTAAGAGGGTTGGAGTGCGGCGGAGCATAGAGAATCCTTCCTTTTTCTAATTTCACACAGTTCATCACGAGACGGTCTCTTTAAAAGCGCCGGTCCGATGCATTTCGAGTTAAAAAAGTCGATTTCTAAATAAGGGAAGCAAAAAAATCTTCAAACGAGAGGTTTGTGGAACAACGAGTTTTTCTTTGCAAAGTGCATAGATGTTAACGTAACATGGAGCATCGCCTCGTATTCTCCTCTTGTCACTGAAACCACACTATCTTTTAGTCTTGTTTCAAAAAGTTAACATTTTAATCATGCTGACATTTCCTTTAAAAAGCTAATTTGATTCAATACCTAATAACGTCTTTCTTGAACTGTTAAGTCAGTAGTTTTAGGTCTTGAAACACTAACAAACCTGTTTTCCTCTCTGAGTGTATGATTATTTTGCAAGGTTTAAATAAAACAGTTTTGCAATTGATTCACACGGATTAATAAGTAATCACATAATTTTTTCTTGTGCAGTTTGCTGGGGATATATAAACAATTGAATTTTTTTTTTTCATAGACCAAGATTTGCACTCCCCCTTAGTTTTTCAAAAAAAAAAAAGAAAAAACATTCAAGCTTGGCAGTCCTGCAGAGGTTTTCACGTATTTAAAAGAAAAATAGAATAGAATCAGGGTACTTTTGGAGATTCAGAAATTTAACGCTGATGAAACAAATCATTATCTTTGGTTCCGGTTGGCAATTTTGCCTGGCACGACATTATTTTTTTCCTCTCAGCTAAGGAGCAGAGAACTATATGTGTATTTATTATAGAAATTAATTGGGTTGCGTTGGATTGAGATTTCCATTATAGAGTACGAGCTTGATTGTATAACGCTAGTAGTAACCTTTTTAACAGAGGGTCACAATATCATGTTATATGTAATTTATAACACAAAATTGTAATTTTGGATTAAAATCAGTAACCCTGTCTACTGATCTTAGCATAAAGTACAACATTCAGTCATGTGTAAGGTTCAGTTGATCCCTCAAAATATTCTGGCCACTCACGTTATCATTACTTAAACAGGTAAGGTTCCCTTGCATTAATTTCAAAATGCCATCAGGACCGTTGAAAGGTGACAATAGAGGGCTGATTTCCGGTGTGATAGCCACAGCTGACATCATGAGTCACGCACACAATTACCGTGACTCAGAGTTATGCTTATTTGAAGTTTGACAGTGCGCGACTCATGACGTCAGCTGTGGCTATTACACCGGGGATCAGCCAATAGAGTAATGGTGAAAATTTACCCAAGAAATGAGCGCTGATTACATCTAAAGATGATGAGCGTTGCCTCCTTAAACCTAAGTTAGATTTAGAATTCCTTCAGCCTTAACAATTTAACATTTTATAAGCGTAAACACTTTAATAATGGAAAGGATTTTGACTTTACGAAATTGTCTAGCGTGACAAACGCGAGACATTGTGGTGCTTCTTACGGTTCATCTTTCAACCAATGATGGCCTGTTCATTCAATCAAGATGTGACGCAAGATGCAATGTAAGTTTTGCATGCGCCGGGATTTCATCAGTTATGAAGCCGAAAAAACCCTGCTATATAAGCAAGGTCCGAGTGATCGTTTATTGCCTCGTTTTTACAGTTGTCTCTACCCTAGCGGGTACGTGAAGGATGGATGAGTTAAAGAATTGCCTATATAGAAATGTTCTATTTCTATACACAAACTGAATCGACATAATGATGTAGCCTATCGGCAGACCTGGAAGCGGGCCCATTAACAGAATATCTTTGGAACAGAGTCAAGCTGCATGCGTAACATAGCCGCAAACGTTGTATCAATTTCTCATCATACGCCATAAGATTCGGCAATATGATGTTCTCTCCGTGCTTTTGAAAGCGACTGCAAAATACGATGGGGTGATTCTTAAGTGACTTTAACGGTTTGCTGAAGTGCCACGGTAATATTGATAAGATATATTATCTCTATTCTAATCATCGTTGTTTTATTCTTTCATGTTTCTCTTCGCGTCTTTAAATACATGCTATAATTAATGATGAGACAGAAACCTGTCTCCAGTTGGAATGATAATATCGTCCGAAAGCTGAAAAAAACACGATGTTTCACTTTCATTTCCTCGTAGCTTATCTCAAACTGTAACAGTTCAATCATGATTTCTCAATTCCATACAAGATTTGCATTTATGCGTACTCCAATTCTGTGAAAGAAAGTTACACGTATTTGCCGTGAGGCTCTTCATCGAAACTGCCAATTTTGAAACACTATTATGGCTGTGTCTTCAAATAAAATGAAAAAAAAAATGGCTGTAGTCTTCTTGCAAAGAATTGAAGCAAGTACATTTTAAAACTTGGGCGTCCCGTAGAAAAGCCCAAGTTTGAAATTCAGTCGCAGTCGTTGTATACCTACGTCACAAGTTAATTACATAATCGACCCTAACAAGCGAAATCTTAAGGGGTGCTCACAGTAAAGCTACGAGAGTAAACATGAAGCAGATAACATAATATCTAACATACAGGCTTCTCTTAAAACTTCTTTGTGTAAGAAATTTTTGATATGATCATTCAGACAATCGGCGACAAAAATGTTGACATTTTGATCTTTACTGTACCCTTTTAGTTGATTTTAACTCTTCGCCTTCTTCAAGTTAAACTGTTCGCCCCCTATCTCTCCCCCTGCCCCACACACAAAAACCAAACCAACAATGTCGAGAAAGTGTAGTGTGATCGTCCGGGTGAGTGTAATCCTGAGAAGGACTGTTTCGGTGGTAGTGACTGACGTTTCGACAACGTGTGCGGAAGTCATCATGCATCAGAGTCAAGTGAATCAAAGTCAAGTCAATGTTGTATCCTGAATCCATGAACTTTTAGCCAACATTGAATGGGGGAGGGGTGCTGTTAATGATTTACAGTGCGGTAGATTTACAGTGTGGTAGAAACAGGAATGTTATTTTGCGCATTAATAGAGCTCTTCAAATATGATCTGTCGACTAATTTTGACGCTGATTGTCTAAGATATATTTTTCGCGATAATGCAATAAGCCTGAAAAACAGTACCAAGCTTACAGAGCTCATTATTTCGAGGAAAAATGAAGTTTATACCATATGATCTGGTTTCATTGGTCTATTCATAAATGTATTCTAACCGCTGTTAAACAGGATGCGATAGTAATAAGAGCCACTAAGGTCAGTTGGATGACGCTGCAGTTAACCTTGCCGTCTTTTCGTTTCTAAGTGGGACATTTAATCCGCATCTTTCGCTAAACATCTGAAAAACATAGAAATGCTGAAAGCATATTACACGATGGAAAGATCCTTAGTTGGGTTTCATGTGGGGTTGTAGGCTTCCCTTACCCTGTCACCGTGAAAATTAAATTTCCCGGGAGACCACGTCTGCGATCACGTAAATCACGTCTTTGATTGCCGTTTTACCAGCATGGTTGTCCCGATAGTGTAGTGGCCATCACACTTGACTAGTAACAGGGGGGACGTGGGTTCAAATCCCGCTCAGGGAAAATTTACTTTTCAAACATTTTTTCTTTCTGTCTTTTTCCTCCCACAATATATACTTCGCTCTACTTCTATGTATTGAGCACTGTTCTACGAAAATCAAGTCACACTTAATATATATATATATATATAAGATGATTTAGGATGTTGTAGTCTTTCGCAGTATCAAAAACCCTGAAAAAAGACTGTTTTTTTTTTAAATAAGTGTCACTAGATTTTTTTCGTTCAATATATATATATATTTAAGATGATTTAGGATGTTGTAGTCTTTCGCAGTATCAAAAACCCTGAAAAAAGACTGTTTTTTTTAAATAAGTGTCACTAGATTAATTTCGTTCAACCAAGTTAAAAGAAATTGACAAAAATATTTTGTTATTCCGCAAAAGAAAAGTAAAAGGTAGAGAGATTCGACCTCTGCTTTTCAAAAGGCACAGAGGTAAGAATCGATCATTTTGAATTGAAAAGCATTGGCAGACAGTTTTTTTCTTTAAAGGCTGATAGTTTCGAAAGAAACTGTTTGGGGCTGCGTCGGTGGGAGCAACGAAATAATTTGGATATATCAACAAAGTTGAAATGATAAATTGGCCACCGTAACGATTACAAAAGCTGACGTTTCGAGCGTTAGCCCATGGTCGGAGCGAATAGAGGAAATGTGCGTTGTGTGTGCTTTTTAAGGCAGAAAATGGAGCTACGTTATTGGTGGGAACATGGGAACGAGAAAAACACGAATAAATCAGTGGAATGAAAAGCGTTCGTTGATCCGTGTGGGATTTAGACTGCCGGTTTGAAAGATAACTTTTCTTTGTCCACGACTTGGCCGGACTTGTACCGTGGAATAGCATTTTAATCAAAACTTAAAGTATTCCATTCCTGATAACTTACCGATGATCACAGGATCACTGCCCTAAAGTAGAACCCATTTATGTTATTATATTCTGCAGTGTGTATCTACGAGTCGATCATAGTGTCACTTTGATCTCTTTACAGCTGTCCTCTGGATCCCACGGTGCGATTTCACCATAATGATGACAACAAAGGCCTTCAGCGGTTTAGTGTTGAAACATTCCAGTTTGTCAACTCACCGGATCCGTTTGTGTACATCTACTACAAGGTAACCGACATAAATTAAAGGTGCAACTACCCTAGAAAAAAATCTCCTCAACATGTTCTCTGCAGAGGTGAAGTTAGCGAAAGATTGGCCTCAAGCGATAGATTACTGGCAATCATGACCTTTGATATTAAAATGGAAGTTAAATTTGGGTTGTGAATTAATACAAGAGTGAATACACTTTGTTATCATGTTTTTTTTTTTTTTTTCATTCTTTACTGACATTTCAATTTTTTTTTTATACATTCTGTGGACATGCAACTTGTTTGAATGGTCAGAATATTATTTCAGAAAATTGAATGCAACTTTATGTTGGCTTTTTGTTTCTATTAATTCCTATATACTGCATGTGACTTGCTTCAAGCATGAAGAATAGATGGAGTGGATGTCTGTAAGAAGGGGGGAGGGGAGAGGTTGGAGGCCACTATGAGGACTTTTTTGTTAAATTGCTTTTTCTGTCGGTCAATGAAATTTTCTATACGGAATCTGCAGAAACATATGGCTGAAACAATGATCTTAACGCCCCATACAAACGTTTCTTGGAGTAAAGGTAAGCATGAATCACAGTGGAACCAAACCCGTCGTCGATTTTTTTTTTCCAGGCCGTGGTTTGCTACTCCTCGCATCTAAACTCAGAATGCTCCAAAAACTGCGATGTGCCTCCCGGGAACCGTCTTCGCAGAGCCCTGCCATACTGTGTAACTGTATATACTAGTTTACTCAGTCACCGCCCTATCTGGTTATATTAACGAACCTTGAGAAAATTAAAGGTATAGAATAAACGATTATACCTTCATATTTATAAACAAATCTCTTCATTTATTATTTTATAGAGGGATCACGGAGTGATACAAAAAAGGAAAGCTGGGTAATTTCATTCTTTCCTTATCGTTTTTCACTCTTTAAGATGGAAAAAAGCTTTTGTAAAATGTTTGATAAAAGAGTGTATAACAAGTTTTAGCAGTAGTTATTTTTCCGTTTCTCTTTTTTTCTTGTTAATTTTATCATTTGTCTGCTTGTTTGACGGTGGAAACACTGTACGCGCAAAGAACAGGGCCAAAGTGTCAGGTAATCAGAACAAAGAGAAATATTACAAGGACCCAATGAAAACTCAAATATTCAAAACCAGCCCCGAGCGAGTTAGAATGATACGACCCTTTACTGTTTTGAATCTAATTGGTCAGAAAGGTAACTTTAATGCCGCTCACGAAATGGACAAAAGCATGACTCATTGACCCTCAATTCCTTGATTTTTATGTCCGATTAAATAATTGATTTTATATCTCCCAACTTCACATTCTCCAGGGCAGGACCCCTTGATTGCTGTATCTGTTACTTTTGGAGTGTTTGCCCTCCTGTGCCTTGTGGTGATTGCAGTTGTACGTCATGAAAGGATCACTGTCATATTGTAGAAAAGAGGAGAGAATCGTTATATTAAATTTAAAAAAATCTTTCGTCTCAGAAAAGGTACTAACAGCAACTACTGATTACTCTGAGACAAGGGGTTTCTGCATCTCGAAGTTGAAAAATAATTCCTAGCGGTCGAATTAAAGCGAAGTTCAATAGCAGTTAGAGTCGTTTTCGGAAACTGTCAATTAGGAAACCTGAATTGAAAACACTTTGGAAGCTAGAGAGATTTCAAATGTCCAGGCTGTAGTGACTGACTACTGTCACGCTAATGTAACATTATGGACACTTTTATTTTCTTGTCAGCCGATTTTATGTTTATTCCTTTTGCTATAACGGAAGGGGACATGAGGGGTTTTGAATAGCGCATCACCACAGACAATATTGATCAAACACCGCATCACCACAAGAACTATTATCGACACACCGACACCGCGAAATAGTCTAAGTGCCAGGATTTACCTGGTCTGCTTTCACTCATCTTTACTGCACGCTGATCTTTGGCTGGCCGACTGTGGGTGTGGTAGAGGTCCAGAGGTCGAGTAAGATGTGAACCAACACGGCCAAGAGACAAGCAGCTACCGTTTATTAAAGATTAACTCGGATATATTGCTTATTTTGTTGCACAGCAGGTTATCGAAATCTAGTTTTTTAAGGGTTTATGGACAAACTGCAGTACCGGAAATGGTTAATTTCTCCGAACATCGTCGGTTTACAAATAAAAACATCGTACACCAGAAGGTTTGAGATCACCGCAACACCAGAATGCAAGTTGTTCTTTACCGCAATACCGCATTAAAAGAAGGGTCAACACCTTAACACCGCAAACCCCAATGTCCCCCTGCTAACGAGAGGTATCACGTGGCCGTTACAAGTGGTACTGCTCATGTTTGCGTTCTTAGACGCGAGCTAAACAATAAAAAGTTTGCTTTGTAAGTTTGTGACTATTCTGTTTTGTTTTCAATGCTTCTTTAATTAACTGAAATCGTTAGGTTTTAAGTTGTTTTTGCTCTTTTACCTCATGGTATGACGTTTGTCAGTTGTACAAGTAGTTTATTGATCCAGAACTGGGCTGGTTTATAAAAAAGTTACAAAAGTTGTCTTTAGTTTTTTCTGCAATTTGAGTGTTACTTTACACAAGTCTTGATTGGTTGTTGTGTTTTTGGTAAATCTTTCTCAATTGCTGTGAAAAAGATGCGATCTAGAGCAAAAAGTGTCGCCAAAAATGAATAAAATGCTCAGATGAGAACCAATCAGATTACAAGGATCACCATTGATTTCAAGTTGAAAGCAATAATTAAAAACTTTTAATATAAAACAGGAAGTAGCTTTAGGTGAATATCAACCAATTCGCGTAATGGCGAGGTAAATATTTACTGCTAGCCACCGACACTGAGGTGAATAGTTGTTTTAATATACTGTTTAAACAGTGCGTCACTATTTTTGAGCGCAACATCCGCGCAAGTTGCTCTAGAGGTGGATATCAAAGGATAGACGGAACTTAATTTGCCAACCAGAGCACGCCTTCAACGCTATCCACTGTTTTACTTTGTACTTAAAAAAAAACATTATCCCCTGCCTCTCTCGCTAAGTTTGGGTCTTTCCCTAGAGTCGTATTGTCTTCTGTTCGTATATCTTGGGGGTTAGGAACAGGTTAAAACGTTATCCCTGAGTACATGGAGTGATGCACTTAATCCAAAATGGCCGGACGCCATAATTTTGACGATAATGATAAAAAATAATGATAATAATAATAAGGATAATAATGATAAGAAGTAATGTTAATAGTAAGTAATAACAAGTAATGTTTTTATCTGCGCATTTGAGCTCTCAATGGGCTTACATTTATAAAATTAATCCGCAACACAAAACAATTAAAACACTAAATAACTAAAACCAAATAAAACCATTTTCATTGTTTAACAAAAATGCTTTCGAAATAAAAACGTTTCTTGGACAGCTTTGAAGGACGAAACCAAAGAAGTACTTTTTAAGAGAATTGTTGAGAGTATTCCTTAATGTAAGTGCATGAAAGGAAAACACGCGTTTAGCGTATGTTACAGCGTTTGTGGTAGGAATAGTAAGAAGTGATAGAGAGGATGAACCTAAAGTTCGTAGTGGATGGTATTCCTGTAGCAGAGTCGATAAATAGGTCAGAGAAAGCCCATGAAGAGTCTTGAAAGTAATAAGAAGAACTTTGAACATTGCCTCAAGCGGTAACCAGTAAAGCTTTAGAACATAACATAACATAAACTTTATTTCATCTCGAATTTTAGAGTAGCTTGTTGGACCTAATATCTTCGACAAAACATGAAATGGAGATTACCTACATGTATTCATACATATATCTGTACAAGATCTAAAATACTAACTATACTAAAATATACTAAAATACACAGTATTTAGAAATATAATTATGTAACAGATCGGTAGAAATTAACAGAAAGGTGAAGATAAGCGGGAGCGACTATACAAAGATACGGCCTTGAATAATCTTTCTCAAGTCTTTAAATGCACTCATGCGGATATAGTTAGGCAGTGTATTCCATAGCCTAGCTGAGAAGCCTTCTCGTACAGTTTTTACGCCAGTAATGTTAGTTACCTTTGCTGGGACTAAAAAAATCAAACAGCATGCAGTTTATACTGTAATCATTAAAGTGCAAACTGTTTCTTGCAGCATGTTACAGAAATAGAGTTGACCAACATGGGTGCAAAGTTATAGCACGAGTAAACACACACACACACACACACACACACACACACACATGTGTGTGTGTGTGTGTGTGTGTGTGTGTGTGCTGTCAAAAAATTGTTTGTATTAGTATTCTGAGATGCTGTTTCTATGTTAATTATTAATAAGTGACAGCCTGATTTCTTGTGCAGTTTGGTGTTAGTAAAAGCACTTGTAACTTCTTCAAAGACTACAAATTGGCAGCCACTCACCCACAATTTTGTTTAAATATTTTAGTGCTTAATAACTCCCAATTGAACTGGAAATCATGTTATTCTTTATTCTAATTAGGCATAATGGTTTTTAGAGAACTAAATTTAAGCTACTTTCTTGAAATAAGTGCCGGCAGACTGAGAGTTGAAACAAGACACTGGGTAATTAAATATTTCAAGACGATCACGACTGCGATGCCATACCCATTCAGACAAAATAGAGATGTGCCAGACTCCCCTGAGGTGTCGCATGCCTTCATTCCAAGATCAGTGGCACTTTCAAGCTTACCTATGACTTCAACTCGAATTGTTCGCCTCCAAATGTCAACATTGAAATCAATTATGTCACACATAAATTCTCCATTAGCCCTTTCGTCAGCAACAGTCACGTTATTGATAAACAGAGAGACTCTTCCAAGAGTCTAGCTTGCGTTAAACCGTTGCTGAAAATAACTACTAACAGCACCAGCTTGTCCAGCCGAGGAAATGCTGACAATACCAGCACCGTTAAATCGTATAAAAGCTACAATAAAGCCTGTCGTCAGACTGTAGTTCCAGTTAAGTGTGACAGGAGATCCCTCATAAACCTGTACAATGTCTGGGGGGAGCACTTCAGTTGGATGCGATGTTGTCATGACCGGGGTAGGTTCATACCATGTGACACTTCCGCCATCTGCTGTTCGGAAAATATTATAAACCGCCGTTAAAACAAACAGATGTTCACATAAGTTACCTTAACCAACAAA